GTTATCCATTTCATAAACACTTGAAATATATATATTTATATATATTTTAGATAATGCACAATTTTTATTTTGCTAAAATATAGCAAGTCAGCAAGTAAAAAAAAATATTTTTCCTCAGTTTAACACAGCTCAGTAAGGTTTTTCCATTTTTCTTTTCTTTTGGCTTGGGAGGGACAACTTAAAATTTAAAAAGGGCAGTTTAGATTTACTTGCAACACCGAATGTATTACAGCCTCAGAGCAAAGAGTACTTGAAGACATATTCACCGCGGGCAGGAATGGCAAAAGAACAAGAACAACGTCTCCTGACAGTTTGGATTCATGGGGGAAAAAACATTTGCCCTGGGCAGGATGGACACAGCAATGGATCACAAGAGGTCTTGGCAGAAGACATATGCTTAGAAGACCTGAATGAAGACCTGTTCATCTGCTGGCATCCTACAGTTGGTGTTTGATGTCTTGTCCTGAGGCATTTCTGCCTGTTGAGAATAGCCACAGTGGTGCCCAAATGAGGAAATCAGAGTATTTAACATTGGAGGAAGCCAAGAATGAATATGCTGTTCTTTTCTGAGTGTTCCACAAGAGGGCAGTATTGCTTTCTAGTTTCAAAAAGGAACAATGAGGAGTCTCACAGCATGTGGTCCTTCAGGGCTGGCTCTTTTTGAGTCTCTGTTCAAACAAAATAATGCTATAACCTACAGACTTCTTGATTAATCATAAATACTGAGTAAAGTCTGGATCAAATTAGCCTTCGGTTCTCACCCCGCCTTCATTGTTATGGAGAGGTTGCCTCTTCCAGTTTCCTCAGAGGAAAAGTACAAAAACCTTGTCCCCATTGGGAATATAGTCATCCATCACTGCATAAGTACTGGCTGGAGAATGTGAATGAATTCTATATTAAAAGAACTTTCTCAGTAACATTCAGCATACAGTATCTGAGAGATCTTGGACTCACACACTTTTGTACAGCTTTTCCTCCAGATATGTTGGATATTCAGCTTAATGGTTAAGCTTTGGGGCCTGAAACCCAACATATCTGGAGGGTGCCAAGCCAGAAAAATGCAGAGTATGGCTTTTCAGACTGAGATGAACATCTTAGATGATGCGCCTATGAATGCATACTTGAGAGGATTTAGCTGTAAGTAGAAAGGTTACACTCAAAAACTGAACGCTGAGATAATTTAGCCTATCCAGACCTCAAGAATGTCTTCGGTATTTTGAAGGAAAAAAGAGCTGAGCACAACAACATTAATGGCTGGGGTCTTCTCCACTGGCTGTGCACAAAGCATATATGAACTTCCACCATAGGAAAGCCTACACTTAAAGTCCTTGAACAGAAGCCCGAATCAAATGTATGATGAACCTCTTCACTTCTGGAAAGTCAACAGGTTTTGGGGTTTCAGCCCTGATGAAGGCAGAGATGGGGGTGAGGAGGATGAAACATGAGCCTTTTTAAAGAGTCAGAATGATCCATGTTCCCCAAGAGTGGATTACTCTTAAAATAGAGTCGCCATACTATCCCACAGTAGATCACGGCTTTTTATTGAATCTATTGGCTATTACTGTTGTCATTTTAAGGGAAAGGGGGAAGCAATCAGGCATGCTGGAGTAAGAAACGTATAGTGCTGTGTAGAATTGTGCCATGCACCCATCATACATCTTTCTATTGCTCTACCATTTCTTTAAAAAATGTATCTAGTCATAACAATCTTCATCTGAAATGGATGAAGTTAGATACATAAAGCGAAAAACAACCAGACTGGAAATAAAATAAAAACAACTCCCTGCCCTTTCCAAGATTTATAAAACAATAAACGTTGGCACTAGATAAACCAAGTGGCTTGCAAAGATTTGTATGGATCTGAGTCACTGAAGCAGAGAAAGCAGAAATAGGTTTTTCTTTAATTCTCTTCTACCCATACGGTGAAGATGATCCTGTGGTGCATTCATTCAATCTATCTGCTAAAGAAAGCTGACTCATCCAGATCTGACTTTGCCCTTTCAACATTGTCCTGATATGTCATTGCTCAATTGGGAATACGGCTGCATGGAGACTGTAAGAAATGCACAGCACCCTCTTCTCTCATTAACATAGCCATGCTTCATATTTACCAGATTGGCACAATGCAAGAAATCACTTCAAATATTTGGGCCAACCCTACTTGACTTAAACAGTAGCACAGGGATCTATGAAAAAGACCAATTGATTCCTGATTAACAGAAAGAGAAAAGATCAATCTCTGCTCATCTCAGTTTCAAGAGACTCGAGCTGTTACAATTGGAGGGAGTCTCTCCCTTAGCTCCAAGAAAGGAACATGGACCAGTCCTGGTCAAGGATCTATGCTAAAGTGGTCACCATAAGTTCAAAACTCAAGAAAAGCCCCACCTGTTGAGTTCATCCTGAACCTGCTGTCTTTATAACAAACCGTTACTATATCCTAAAAGGAAGGACAGGAGAGATGTTTCACATCACAGAGACTGGAAAAGAGCAAGATGTGATGTTTGTTATGGAAAGCACTGTTATTTGGTCAATTAACATCAGCAGTCTGGATACCACTGGCAAGGAGGAGAAAAGAACAATGGCACCAGCAGAGGATGTATAGGATCATGTTTTAAAGAAAGTAGGGTGGGAGAGGGAAGGGAGAGGGGAAGCCGGGTCCTAGCTTGGGCACGGAGCATTACATTTCATTGGCCACCAACTCTTCCTTGTCAACCACACCATTGGAGAGTGAGTTCTGGCCTTCATTTAAACGCTTAACTCTGTAGGCTTCAAAATGGATGCTGCTAGTAATGTCTTTGATGTTTTGCATGTGAGTCCTAGGAAAAAGAAAAGAGAATATTTTTAACATAAAGGGAAAAAAGAGAGGAGAGAGAGAGATCTCATGTCTAAAGATGGACATAAATCAACAGCAATTTTATACTGGAATGTAAAAGAACGACTATAATACAGTAGTAAAGCATGTTTTATACACCCTAACCCCATGCTTTAGTCTTGCCATTTTCAGGAGATGTGAAAGTTACATGTGCTAGACATCGCTGTTTCTTAGAATTGGCAAGACTGAGATAAATTGACAAATGGCAATAAAGTGACAAATGGTCTGACTCTGTAGGAGTGACCTGGAAAAGAGCTACAGTGCCAACCACACTTTTGCAAACTTTGACTTGTTCACACACTATATTAAGTCATGGTTTAACCAAGGTTTGTTGAATAAACCACTGGTTAGTAGGCCATAAACCATGGATGGGAATGTATACAAAACACTCTTGCAAAACCAAATCACATTACAGAATTTTGAGTTACATGCATCATCACCAACTATGGTAGGAGCACAACCAGGCTGGAGTGTCTGATGTACTCATAGAATGGTACAATTCTACCGCACAATCCCAGGCTGAAAAGTAAATTGCCCGGAAACATGCCAAAGCGCCTCTTAGAAAATTGACACCAACCTGATCAGAAGATCTCTCAAGTAAGCAAACTCGCAGTGCGTTGTATTCTCAACTGTCAATGCAGAAGACAGAACAAACGATTAGCATAAACTCATACCTGCTAAATTCCACAGTAAGACAGAGTTCCAAAAGCCATTCAGTTTATGAAGAATCTGCAGCACTAAACACAGTGCAGTGCCCTAGTTCTAATGGGCTAGAATAGCAGGAGGAAATCCTCTCATAGTGGTTTAGTTCAATTGTCTTATGTTCTGACTTTACACTCTCTATTCCTCTGTGTGTGATGCTTCCAAAAACACTTGAT